ACATCGGATCAGCGTCTTATATGTCGGTCGCGTCGGGTCTTTGAGCGCCACATTCATGACGTAGCCGGCCGCGGCCAAAGCAAAAACTAGAAGGAACATGAGCTGCAGAGTGGTCTCTACTGTGTCGGCACTGACATTCTCCGTTGAGAACTCGATCATGCGCATGAGCTCGCCCTGCGAGGAGTTGAAGCCAGTTCGGAGGACGAAGCAAAGGATGCCATCATCTGGCGGGCTGCTTGCATCCCCATCGACTTTCTTCCTGCTTCTTTCAGGTGCCGTCGTCTGGATTAGAGACGTGCCGCTGAAAAGAGCATGTATCCTCGGGCTCGGGGACGTGACAAGGTCACAAGCAGCTTCTCTAAGGATTCCAGGCTCTCTGGACCACCAGCGCTATGCCTCGGACCCCGCCTGTGCTTGCCAAAACAGTCCACGATCAACTCGGAGTCCGTCCCGGCACCCATCGCATCCTTCATCTGCGGCACGGACTCACCTGACATCACAGGAAGAGACTGAAGGCAACAGCATGACGACCCGATGCGGCCGCTGCCTGTCAGGGTGGCTTCGTTCACGATGGCGCTGCCACTCACGATCAGGCAGTCGCACGGCACCAAGGTCTCCTGCGAAGTGTTCAGACGGAGACATTTGGGAACAACTGACAGGCTTGTACCGCACTTAAGCAACAGCGGCAAGTTCGACCTTCTTCTCGTGTTTCTCAGTCCCAGGTTCTGCCTTCTTCTCTTCTGCCCTGTGCCGCAAGACATGTCAACTCCCGGAGGCAGCGACAGGCTCGAAGATGACCACGTGCTTCAAGCCAAGCCGCTTGGTATGCAGAGAGATCAGGTCGCCGGGCAGGAGTTCCTCTATGGGCTTGTTCTCCCACTTCCCGCATCGGAAGACGAAGACCTTAGCAGCAATGCGAGAACAGTGTGGGAGATCAAAACCCTGTGAGTTGTGCATGACTAAGGAGCAGGCATTGAAGCCTCGGAAGAGTAAAGGAATCCCGTCACATGCGCCCAGCCATGTCACCACATGTTGCAGCAAGCGAAAAGAGAAAACAAAAAAGAAGTGCAGGCAGTGGGGCTCTTCGTGCTCATCCCACGAAGGGTTGACATGGACTTCAAGCGTTGGAAGACCGTCGAGGCTTCAAACATAAGGATGCTCCCCAATGTGAAGCAGGTGTACTTCCTGAGCTTCATACTACAGAATGGACCAGGAGTGCTGCTACCGCAGCTGAGGCACCACATTGTGTCCATAACCCATAGGGCAGCTGAGAAAAGCTGAAAGATCACCAGCGGTGATATCAGCTGCTTCTGAAAAAGCCTCGGATGACAAACCGTGGAAGAAGCGCAGGATCGTCGCGACAGGGCAGCCCGGGGTTCCATGCAAGCCTTGACACTGCATGAAGGTCGGCTTGGGGAGGTCGAAGATGTTGGACCCATACTTGTCCTGGCAGAGAATCACGAGCCGCCGACTCCGTTTGAAGCTCAGTCTGGTCACAGCCCAGACTCCAGCACACACCCCCACCCCACAAGACGAGCGAGGCATCTGCCTGGGCCAACCCAACCTTGCCGGAGGTGTCCAGTCCTGCAGAGAATGCAAGCCCCGCGCACAGGAAGCAAGACATGCAGTGTCATCAACACTGGTCCTTTGCAGTCTCGGTATGTTTTCCACGGTAAATTGGTTGGGCATTGAATCAACCGGACGCCTGGGATGGCGCATGACTGCGCATTTGCATGACGAAGTTTGACTAAACCCTGGCACGCCCCTCAACACAGTTTGCCATGCAGGCAAGTCACCCGGAAGATCTAGGTCCTTTCCGGAGATACACATGGAATGTCTCACACCACATGTAGGCTGCTTCAACTAGCACCAGGCTCCGGGGCGGGAGGCGAAACCAACCAAAGGAAACACGACAACAGCAATCAGGCTGTATCGGGAGCATGGCAACTACAGGTACGAATGCAGATAAAGAGTCACCCATAACTCGCTGTGGGGCTGAAGGAGAGCATGAATTTTAGGACACGCAATCATGCAGACGATCGACTCACACTAGGAAAAGACAGCTCGCACAGCTGCACGCGCGCTGCTATGCGCTGTTGGCAGGCACAGGCCTTCATGGAAAACCTGCATCCAAGCTGCTCCCAGAAGGTCTGGGTCTTCAGTTCCAGCCTCTACAAACTCAAAGTTCTGGTACCTGCTGCACTGGTCTCGAACATGCTGCTCGCAACTTGCAGCAGCTCAGTAGCAAGTACATGAGCAGCCTGGCTCCTCTGCTTCAGCTAGGTCCACTGGGTTACTAACCAGATGTCCACGGCATAACTTCAGCCAAGATGCTGAAACTTGAAGTGGCAATTCAGCGTGACCTACAGACAACATGGTCTGTCAGCCCGTCACGTTTCGCCGATGTGAATGGGTAATGAGAGCCGGATATCCTCTGCGACAGCTGTTCCCACACACGTACAAGAACGACTTGCTTCCGAGATGTGACTTCATGCATTGTCATGTGGTAGAACGTCCATCCCTGCGTTCTTTGCTGTGATTGATACGATCAGCGAGTAGAACCAAGGCACAAAGAAGGTGGTGGTGGTGGTGGTGGTGGTGGTGGTGGTGGTGGTGGTGGTGGTGGCGGTGGCTTGATGCATTCATCATATTGGACGTCCCGGTCATGCCTCACCCCCTCTTTCTACAAGTCGCACGACGTCTTCACGTTTCCGCATCCACGCACAGGAGTGTGTGTATGTGTGGGAGGGGGAGAGAGAGGGAGAGCCTTTTCTCCGGACTGCATCGAAAACGTTGAAGCTTGAGTTTCGGCTAAGGACCAGCTAAGGCCAACGGCTAAGCACGGAGCCGTCGACTTGCGGAACAGCTTGCGCAGGGTCTCTGTTAGAGTTTTTGGAGGACTGATTTAAGGCTGTTCGAGGCCTTAACCAAACTCTGCAGGCTGCTCTTTTCTTCGGCGTTCGCTCTGGCCTCTGACTCGTGGACTTCGCAGATGTCTGGCTTTCCCTTGTTGGCGTGCGGCGTAACACGCACAAAACCTCAGCGGCATGAGCCGATCACACATGTACGCACGAAGAACAGCAACTTAGTAGCTCGGCACTGCTTCATCCCGAGCCGCTGCCGCTTTGGACTCGTTTGGACGGCTGGAAGAGGAAGAGGGCTCGAAAAGAGATGGACCAAACGCACATCAGGTGAAAGAGCACATGCACCTGGAGACCAAGAACAATGCAGCATGGGACTTCGCAAGACCAGAAATGGAGGCATGGTAGCAAGTCTCAGTCGAAACTTTGCTGGCAAAGCTTGCTGTGATCTCTGCATAAGACGGCCGAGCCACCACTATGTTCCTCGGCAGGAAATCGACTGGCATTGAATAGGGACTAGAATCATTCTGCTTGTGCTTTCGCCAGCTGTTTCTGTCGGACCCCGACGCAGCATTAGGTATGGCCGCTATGCTACACAGAGCAGGTGCAATATCTTGCGGCTAGGCTGCAGGAAAATGAAAACGCATGCAACAGCACTCGGCATCATCTGAGAGGGCAGGGACTCCTGCCGAAGCCGTGTACCTACAGAAACGTCACCCTTGCATGGGACCGTTTCAGCAGGCTCCTCGTCGATCCCGAGCTCGGTCTCCTGAACGGCCCAAGGATTCGGACATTGGAAAATGCCACCGTCTCCGGCGTCAGAAAAAGGAAAGTCGCTTCTCCTTCTGATCTTGCTGTCCACTTGTGAAGGAAACCCCCTTCTCCTCAGCAGACAGGCGGCTTCGACTAGATCTCAGCTTCTTCCAAGCCAAAGCCGAGCCTTGGCAGCTTCAGCCTTCTCTTTGATTAGCCGCTTCTGCTCTTCCAAGGCCCACTGGTACGGCTGGCCGACCTGACATCGAGGAACCCGAGCACGGATTCTCCGGACACATCGAATCACGACATCTCTAGACTGTGACTCTGGGGTCCTGGGTCCTGTTGACTTTCGCACAGGCAAGACAAGCTGCTAATCGCGTGGCTTCCAACAATCTCTCGCGCATGCTGCGAGCTTGGCTTCGTTTATTGCCGGCTGGCCACTGTGTCCTGCCACAGTTTTAGTGAACAGGCGTAGTATGCCACGAAGAACGCGGCCACCTTGGTCTTGCCGACATGGAGAGAATCAAGGCTTCACTCACCCAAAGCTATCAGGCTGATCCCTCATGCAGCATTCCATGCCCGGGCACGATGTACCTCTTCCATGGAGCTCTGACGAGGAGTCTCACATGAGCTACGCTGCTCGGATGGCGCAGGCGCATCCTGCCTCCGATTGCGTGGGGCAACGATGATTCCGACAAGGATTCTTGGATAGCCGCCAGGGATGAGAAGGGATGAGGACATAAGACTACCTTGCATGGAGCAGTGTTGAAAAACGAAGCTGAGATGACATAGACATGTGCACGACGATGATGCAAGAAAGGCCTAGCAAAGCATTAATGAGAACCTCGTGTTCGATATGTAACGCTTAGACTATAGTACGTTGTATGTGATCTGCCAGATCATCGTCCAAGACAGTGGTGTATGACAATGGACGGCGATAGGAGCAGTGAGAGTACGATGAGACCAGGCAAAACCTGGATAGCAAGAGGAACAGACAACAAGAGAGGAGGATTTGTTCCACCCGCTCAGCTGGCTGAGGATAGAATTCAAGGCATGACGGCGCAGGATGAGGTGAGGCTGCATGGTGCTGTGCCCACATGACAAGAACAGGGTGTGATGGAACTATGTCAACCCGCAAGCGTCGCAAGTCAAAGACGCACTGCCGTAGTCTGCTGACTGCTTCATAAGGCGGAGGGCCTAGGGCAGGACCTCCAAGCCAAGCGATTCGGGCGCCCTGGTGGCGCCCTGGCGCTCAAAGCGCTCAAAGCTTTCGGGCCAAAAGAGGGCGCGGCGCATCAGAAACATTGCTTCTGAAATACTTGAAGTGGCTCGGCCTAAAGCAAAAGCTATCTGCGCACATCATGACTGCACTGTGGCCGGAACATCTGATTCCGAACCCAGCTTTGCAAACCTGTCAGGCGCCACACCCTCCGCTGAAGAAGCCATGATGGTCGACATGCAACGGATTGGAGACTCCCCTCCCAGAGCGCGCCGGGCATCCCAGGCTTGGCGCCTGACCCGTCGCATGGACAAGACAACTCCGGAACTTCTCCTCTTTGCCTGCTGAAAGCGGAGCCGAAATGCTCCGAAGCCGAGGCGGCTCCAGGCGAAGCGGGCGCTGTCGCTGGCCGATCCTGCAAAACGTGACACAAAGAAGCTTCAACAGGGTAGCCTGCAATTGCTCTGATTGAGTGTTTTTCTTGGGGGGCAGCCACCGCTACATGGCAGATGCATTTGACCCCGAACACTCGGCGACAGAAAACGAAGATCTCACGTCACTGATCGTGGAAAACTCCTCTAGCTTCACCTTCGCGGCCCCCTCGAAACTCAAACAGGTCGAAATCCGAAGCTTTGCTCGTCAGCAAGGCCCAGCTTCCGTGCCTCTGACCAGTCGGCTCGAGGTGGCGCGGAGCATGCTCGTGTCCTTGGTTCAGCTCCTGGCTTCCCGGTCACCGACCTCATCCGTCCGGGGCTTGACGCGGGCCGGCCTCAGCATCAGCAACGGTGGCTTGTTGTGTCAGACACCCAACCGCATTCAGCCCTGCACAGTCGGTCCACGTGTCCTGGAACTTCGGCAACTGCCTCACTTCGCAGAGAAGCCAGCACAACCCGCATGTGCCGGAATGTGCCACCTATTAGCTTTGCGACGTGCACTTCGCGGTCTTTGCGAACTGAGGTCGGAGGCTCTGGACCATGGCTCGGCTCGCGGTGCTCCTCGTCTGAAAGCCTCAGGCCAGGCGTAACTGCACCGCTTTGCCTATGCAGTCGCATGGCATAGCGGCATGGCTCGGACCTGGACCCTTCGACCTCTAGAGAAGTGCTCGAGGCCCCCTTCCACCACAACCCCCTCGGCACAAGAGTAATGTACGCTCTGCCTCTGCCAGGCTCAGGTCATTCTGAGGTCACAGCCCGTGGGCACATCGCCAGTGGGTATCTGGAGGTGGTCCTTCCCGCGCAACCACCTCCGGCGCAGAGGTCGGAGTCTTCGCTGAAAGCTTCGGTCTGCAGAGCTGCAGATGTCAGCGGGCCTTTCTCGCTCGCACTTTCCAGGCACCTGGCCAAGTTGGGAGTCACTCAGAAAGCCGTCAAAGTTACACGTTGGAACGCGACGCTTGGGCCCCTGCAAGACGAAGACTTCCTGCAAGGGCAGCAGAACTAACTAGAGAGAATCACGCAAGGCCATGACGGCCACCTCTAATCGTTGTCTCATGCAGGCTCTCGGCTCACAACGAGAACTGTCCGGCCAGTCTCCACCCTCCAACAAGAACGTGGTTGCAAGAAGACGAGCAAGCCGTCCTGCAGTACCAGGCCAGGCAGCCCCCGAAGGCTGCGAAGCAGAGCAGCAGGAGCCTGGACCCGGGCTTGGCTTTGCAAAGAGTCGCTTTGAGGCCATAGTGCAAAAAAGCGGCCAAAGCATCGGCCCAGGATCCTGTCAGAGCTGCGCTGAGGCTGCAAGGCCCCTCCGTTGTTTGGGTTTATCTGCGCTGAGCCTCACTGAGCAGCCGCCGGCTTTGGCCCTGACGTAGCATCTCGGCTCGAGGATCTCCAGCAGTTTCAACTGCCTCCCCCCAGTTCGTCTGCAGGCTGTTCCGCCTTACAGGGGTCCAAAGAGTCCAGTGAAGAAAGGCTGTGGACTCTTTCGAGGCAGAAGGGCCGCAAGGCAAACTGCGCTGCAATGAAGTGACGCTTGGGCAACGGCAAATTCTGCGCAGACAAGCCAGACTTCGTGGCAAAAGCCTGGAACGGGCAGAGTGTTCAGGGCTCTTGCACGGACTGCCCCAGCGTTCGACAACCCTGCGGTCGCTGTTTCCATACGGCTGCTGGCTTGAAACCTTGCCCTTTCCGCCCAGAGCATGCTCAACCTAAGGCGGAGCCTGTCTGGCTCTGAGCTGATGCAGGCAAGAGCCTCAAGTGCACTGCAAGCAGTTTCCAAGCACTCCAGCCACTCTGGCGGCAGATGGCATCTCTGTTACAAGGTGCCATGGATGCCCCGGGGCCCACACGGAACCACACCTCGGAATGGCCTTGGCTGAGACCCGAAGCTCAAGACGCAGTTGAATGCAGGTAAGACAGGCACGTACGCTGCAACGCAAAAGCCGCGGACGGACTGGATTTCTGCTACCATACCGCCAAAGACACTTCAGCATCGCAGCGTGGCCACGACACTTCAGCTCGCAAAGGATTGGCACAACTGGTCGTTGACTGCGTACGATAATGCATTCGCTCAGACTCCAACGGCGAAGTGTGCATCCCGGTGATTTAGAGAGGTGAAACATGAAAGCCTCGATGTGTACAAGGCGTGTCCTACCGGTACTGGCGGGGACTTCAACACTGTTTAACAAAGTGGACAGACACAGTGACCCAATGCACGCCTCCTTCACTAGCGGCCAAGATTACATAGATATAGCCATGGCCTTCAATAGCCTTGACATACAACACAACCCGCCTGCAGAGGGCTTCTACCCTCGACGACCGAATTAGCTGCAAGACCAGGCGCTTGCGAAGTTCTACAGTGCTGGGCGCTCTTTGCGACATGCTTATGAAACCCCGCGCCCGGATCCGCCTGTTCCCCCTGATCTTGAGCATAAGGGTGGACAGGCTGCCTTGAGCCCATCATTTCTCAAAAAAACCTTAGGAGCACAACTGAGGAAATCCATAGTTTCATGCAGCCACCCTACCATGCCTTCCACGGCCTCGGCCTACTCTGATGTTTTCCTGTATTTCCAGCTTAGCGACAAAGATTCCATCAAGTTGCATAAGCCGACCACTTCCTCATCCTAGCTTTTCGCGACTAGCCTCGAGTTGTCAGGCTTGGACGCACCAGCTATCCCACGCTGCAATGGTGCAGAGATTGCAGAGAGCAACACATGATGGAAATCAGTTCGGCAAATGACACTTTGGTGCGGTCCGTGCGGCCTGATCAAGGGCTGGACCACCAGCTACTGGGGTTAACGCGACGCATAGCTCGCGTAATCCTGTCCTCTCCTGCGGCAGCACGCGCAACAGCGACTCTATGGTGAAAATGCAAAGCGTCAGTCAAGCCCGTCTTCTGAGTTGCTGCGACTGCAACAGTTATCTGGACGGCACTGTGTCGGGTATGCAGGGTTGTTTTGCTGTCAAATCCCTGAGTTACAATGCGATTGTCACGGTCCTGCCCGAGAAGATTCCTTAGGCAGCAGTACTGATCTGGAATGAAGAGCAGATTCAGAGGCGTGCCGCATGTTCACCCACAGGCTCGCTCTCGAGTATGCGCGTGGTTCATCGTCAAGGCACCACAACAGCGTCCTTCGTGCAATTACTGTTACGCGAGTCGGAACCCTCTGGAGCCAAGGGTCTGGAGCTCATGACATCCAGAACCTGCAGGGGGTTGACATGGATCACACCTCTGGTTTGTGGCCGCAATTCCATCCAGAGGAATATCCCGTCTGCTGCTGTTTAATTCCGATGGTGGCAGGAAGGACACAGGCCAGCATGAGCTAGATCGAGCTTCCTCAGTCTGGGTCTCCTGTTGTTGGACAGTTCGAACGCCACCCGCCACCTGGTGATGCTGCTTCATGGTCGGCTTGACCTTATCGTACTTCTCATCGAAGACTTTGAAGTGCAAGTAGTGAACATAGACTTAGATCAAGAAGTGCGGGGACACCGTCGGAGAGCATGCACAGTCAAGCCCTTTGCGTCCACCGAAACCTGATCCCAGTCTGAAGCTCCTGGGCTTCGGAAACTGAACAATCCCTCGATCCTGCTCTGGTTGCAGGAAGCAACCTACGATCAGGGCCATGAGTGAGAAGTAGATGAACCTAAGCTGCCCCGGTGATACATGAACCGGGGCTCCTAACTGCGACCGCGACTGTGGGACTTGAGTGCGATCTCGAAGGTGATGTATCAAAGGCGCATGATGACGCCAAGAGTTTTGGAACCGGAATCAGGATGGCCGCCACTCGGGTCAGGGAAGTCGTAGTTTTCCTTGCTCGCCAAACCAGCGGGACTCTGCAGCGCAGTCCCCCATCCCCCATACCTAGTCCCTACGAGGCATGCAGCCGAGTCGCCCGGTCAAACTTCACCACCATGCCTCAAGAGAAACAGTGAGGGCAGGGAACTCTGGGCCTGTTGATGGTGTCCGGACAACCAGCGCTCCGTACTCATTGAAGTAAGGGCACGTAAGCCGCTGCTTGCCAAGAAGAGAGGCATGGAGACCAGCGCCATAGAGACTGCGAAGTGCCTCCACGTGCTGATGTTCTTGTTTAAGTAGTAACCTCAGCATGCTTTGCAGCCAAATCAGATCGAGGGCTGAATGCTGCAGGCAAGGGACAAACTGAGGCGTCGAATCCTCGAGATCACTTGCATGGCACTGCTTGTCTGCTTCATGAGGTGTCCCACATGTTTCCTGCACGTCTGAAAGTCTGATCTTGCGAGTCCTGCAGGGCCTGCAGTCATTAGACGAATGGTGTGATAGGGCTGCGCCACACCCACCTGGGTGTCCAAGCATACTGCAGGGCGTGGAGCGGGTTCGTACTGGCGACGTTTAAGTCTGGCACATATGTCGCGATGACATTGAACAACTGGACAATTCCAAGCAAGAAGAACCCAGCAAGCTGACAGGCTCCATCCTGGCAGGGTGCGACGAACAAGCGAACAAGGCACCAAAACTAAATCATTGTGACTTTCATGGAAGCCAAGGATCGACAACATCTCCGTTGAATGGATTCATTCTCTTCTGCATATCAAAAAGGTGATCCTGCAGATTCACAGGAGGCTTGGGATACTTCGGTGCTCGCTCCCGACAGACTTGGACAGCTTGCTTCAGCTACGTGGATCTGTGCGGTCGCTGCATCGCTCAAAGTCCCTGTCGCATGAACTGCTGACAATCAAAGCTTGTGACTTTGCTGGGTTCCAAAGGAATTGCTCGGTGGCCTGCCACCGAAGGCCAGATCTTGAAATGAAATGGAGACTATTGCTAGAAGTTCAGCAGGCACAAAAAGTGTCAAAGAAGTGTGAGTAGTGGCGCGATGAACAGACTCCTCCAAAGTTGGAAAGCTTTCACGATTGTTTTGAATCTTATTTTTTTCGAGCCTAAACGAAGACTGCTTCTGGGGGTACACACACACACATGCTTGCATACATGCGGGCATGCATGCGTGCATGTGTCCTTTCCCTAAAGTTTCAAAGCCAAGCAGTATTTGCGATACATCTGCTATTGCTCCTTCTAGATTCTCCAACGAACTTTCATGAACGTTCGATGACAACACAATCCTCCCAAAATCTCAAGCACCACTCAACCGAAGAGTAAACCAAAACCCAGAGCAACCAGCCTTTTGCAACCAGTAGCTGCAAGCTTCGGTGGGGAGATGCAGCAACAACAGGAGTGTTGATACTCCGACTCAGGATATGAGAAAAGAACTGGTAAAGTGCCAGGACTTCACATCCCTCATCGGAAACCGATATCAGAAAACCCCCCTCCACTGGTAAATAAAGGGTGAGGACGGGTGGGAAAGATAAATGGTAAACCGATTTGAACAACATCTGACCATTCGATTTCATCAGATTGTGCATCTCTCGCAACAGCAAGCTCTTGTGACTGACACACAATCCTCCCAATATCTCAAGCACCGCCCAAAAGGCAACTGAAGAGCAAGCCAGAACCCAGAGCAACCAGCCTTTTGCAACCAGTAACTGCAAGCTTCGGTGGGGAGATGCAGCAACAACAGGAGTGCTGATACTCCGACTCAGGATATGAGAAAAGAACTGGTAAAGTGCCAGGACTTCACATCCCTCATCGGAAACCGATATCAGAAAACCCCCCTCCACTGGTAAATAAAGGGTGAGGACGGGTGGGAAAGATAAATGGTAAACCGATTTGAACAACATCTGACCATTCGATTTCATCAGATTGTGCATCTCTCGCAACAGCAAGCTCTTGTGACTGACACACAATCCTCCCAAAATCTCAAGCACCGCCCAAAAGGCAACTGAAGAGCAAGCCAGAACCCAGAGCAACCAGCCTTTTGCAACCAGTAGCTGCAAGCTTCGGTGGGGAGATGCAGGAGTGCTGATACTCCGACTCAGGATATGAGAAAAGAACTGGTAAAGTGCCCAGCACACCAGGACTTCACATCCCTCATCGGAGACCGATATCAGAAAACCCCCATCGACGCCCTACTCCCTTCCCATCGCAGCTCTGGGTGTCACTCTTCAGGTTCCTCCCCTTCTGCATCCGACAATGATTCAAGGCATGCGGGCAAGCCTAAGACATCAGGATCCACATAACGCAGAATTGCAGCAGATCCCCACCCACCAGCCTGCAATATCTGATGGATGCTAATTCCCGGCCAAAGCTAGCGACGTAGCCTTGCCCGCCCTAAAGCTCTTCCAAGTGTACCGGTCTGGGCCTGCTATTTGCAGTACTGACAGCAAGCGATGAAGCTTGCAAAGCAGCTGCTTCGCACTCAAACTGCACAAGCGCCAGCCTGCTTGGACTTCCGGCAAACGACGCAGCAGGCGATGACCCAAGCACATGGCATTGACTTCTGACTTGCAAGTGCAGGCCTTTGCAGCAAAGAGCCTTCCGGACTGTTCTTACGCTTCTTCAGCCTCAAATAATCGTGAACATCAGCCGGCGTACCCCACAGACATGGGACTGCTTCACTGGGCCCGCGCAATGAAAAACTGCCACGTCACCAGAAATAGATGAACTGCTCATGCAAAGGCAATCCATCGCATAACGACAGAACTTGAGCCATGAGGTCCTCCGTCAACAACGCTGGCTCGCACAAATGTCCGGTCAAGTTCGCTTGATGTTGCTTCTTCAAGCCTTTCAGCGCCAACTCCACTTGACCATCAAACCAGAGTGTTGACAAATGGAAAGCAAGGCAAGCCCACCTGACATACGAAATATAATTCCGAGCAGTGCCGGGGTTCCGAAATAACGCGAGGAAATGTAAAGCATCACAAGCAGACCTTGGAGCTAGCGTTTGGTCCTCGGCGTAGCTGAGGTGTTCCACCGTGAAAGAATGCCACAAACGCAACC